CCCATGTTATCTTTTATTTCTTTCATATTTATTGCTTTCTAGATTCATTTTATTTAGTTTTATTGCTTTCTAGTTCGTGATTATTTTATTGCTTTTTAGTTTTCTCTTTTCTCTTGTTCTACTTTTCTTTTGCATCAGGGACGATGCAAAGTTTTAAGTGTGAGGGGGAGGAATCATTAATTTGGGGATATTTTTAAATTTTTAAAATTTTAGCTTTTGCTTGGATGACTCATATGCTATTTTTGGTGAATAAGCTACTTGTCTTAGCATGCAGTTACAATTATTCTCTCTTGTTGGTTTGTGGTTTGTTTTAGTGGTGCTTGCTGCATCTCAATTTGTGATGGATGATTTGAGGTGTAACACATATTTGATCTATTCCCTTGCCAATAGCTTTGTTAACCACTTAATAATTGGATTAATCCTTGATCTTGTGTTTTGCATTGCTAGTGAAGGCTTATGTGAGATTCCGGTCATGGGTGTTTTTGCTAGAACTTGCCTCATTACTCCCTAAGTGATGTCTAAGTTTTGCATGTTTTGAAGTGATTTAGGCCATTATTGTTTAGCCATAGCCTTTAAACCTGTCCCTATATATATATTTTTATCCTTCGTTTCCCCATTGTGCCTTTTGTTTGTTCAAATAAGTGCTAAGCACTTATCCCCTCTTTGTGATTGTTTTTCTTTGATTTACCCCATTATTATAACCCTTAGCCCGTGGCCAAATATTTCCCTTCCACCCTTGAGAGAATGAAACTTTTATCTTCATCTTTTCCGTAAGAAGAGTTTTATGGAGTTGTGCTACGAAAAAAGCAGCTAGTGTTACAAATGTTCAAGAGTGGAGGTCATGAAAGTTTGGATTAAAATTATCTTGCTATATCCAAAAGAAGTCCAAAGACAAAGAAAAGAATGAAAAAAAAAAAAAAAAAAAAAAAAAGATTGAAAGTTTTTGAGTTTGGATCCCCACTTTACCAAAGAGTTGCTAAGTTCTTAAAAGAAGTTTGCTCTTTGGAATTATGATTATCTCATCTCTTCCAAATTTTGAAAAGTTTAGATAAATTGTGAAATTCTCTCTTTTGATTTATTTTTCCATACCACTTCTTTGTTAGCCGTCACCCGTAGCCCCATTACAAGCTTAATAAAGTCCTATTTTATCTTAGCATGCGTTCTTAGATTTGATCTAGGGGAGTATGAAGGGCAAGCCTTTGGGATCTCATTCTTGAGCCGTGTCTTGCATAATCTCAACTGAGTACTTGTACACAATTGATCCTCACACACTTTAAATTCTTGGCGCTCGGTTTTTGGCTTGGAAATGGGTCTCCTATGTGCCAAACTAATTTGATTCTTGAAGCTTGTTGTTTTGTAGCAAGTTGGTTGGTGGTTTGAAAGGTTGTGCAAGAGAGAGCATGAGTAATTTGTATGTTTGGACTTGTGATTTTATTCCTTAGTTTTGCTTGAGGACAAGCAAAAACTTAAGTGTGAGGGGGTGATGTTATCACATCTTTGCTTGTTATTATAGTTATTTTGAATCATCTCAGTATTTAAGTTCTTTAATTTTGCTTATTTAATACATATTTTCCTTGCTATTATCATTTAATTATGGTTCACACTTGTTTTGAATGTTTTACGGTGTTTGTTAGTGTTTTTGAACCATTTTAGGTCAAAGATATGAGCAAGGGAAGTTCAAGGATGAGTTTTGAGCAATTTTGGACGAGTTCGGGGCCCAGTGGACTCGACGCGTCGAAATTTTCCAGTAGCTAACTAATTCGCGCACAGGAAGTCTCGACGCGTGGAGAAAATTCTCGACGCATCGAGAGAATAGGCGTCTATTTCTGGGATAAAAACAGACGCCTAAAGTGGCGCAGCTGGGCAAAATTTAATACAAGCGCGAGATTTCTTTTCCTAATATCAATTGCACGGATTTCAAGGCTCATATCTCCATATCAAAAGTTAGCAATTCAAGGAATCTTCCAAATTCTAAATATCATTAAAGACGGCAATTTCTTTATTTAAATATAGGAATTAGAATTTGAGTCCAATTTGGTACAAGATTCCTATTTCATCTCAACTTTGTACCCACTATAAAATCCCTCCTTCCTCAACCCTAAGAAGACAACACCGAGAGATTTTTAGAGTTCTTTGTAGACAAGAAAGAGAGAAATCAAGAGGCTCAAGTCGTCTTTGGAAGCAAGGAGGAAGCCAGGGAGATTTGGGAGAATCGCTTGGTTAATTCTTGTACTCTTCTGATGATTTGTAATCCTTTATTCATATTTGCTATGTATAATTTAGCCATGCTCGGCTAAATTCTTTAGGGATTTTTGGGTGAATTCGTTTATGAACCTATGTGCCTAGTTCGTTAATTTCTTAATATATTTATGTTTGGTTTTATGATTTGTGTTGCAATCTTGTTTTAATCAGTTGTTGTTGGTAGTTAAAGGCCTAAATTACTAGCTTCACAGTCATGTTTGTGTCACCAATGGGAGTTGGGGCATAAATTAGGGCACACACGATTGCACCTAATGGTTGGTCCTTGGGAAAGGGGAACTTATTAGGGGAAGTTTATTCTAGATTATTGCTCATCGGGAGATGGTAGTAATTAGGAATAATTGAATGCTGATCTTTGATCTTATTGGGTGTTTAAGCCATGGGAGTGGAAATTCCCTAGGAATAGAGATTACGGGAGTAATTCGATTCCACTTTGCATTCCCATACAAATCTTAATTCCAAACCAAATATTACAAACGTTAATTGGCACTAGGTGATTAAACATTGTGATCCCAAGAATCCTATTTTGCTCCATTGTCTACAAAACCTTGCTACTTATTTTATTCTGCTTGTTATTTTATGCAATCAATCAACCTTCAAGTTTTGTTCGGACTAGTTTCATATGAGTAACCTAGTAGCTAGTGATTAGTACACCACCTCTCTGTGGTTCGACAACCCGAATACTCCGGGTATTATTTGTTTGCCCCAAATTACAGCAATCATATTTCGTGGGAAATAAACATAAATTAGTATAAGAATACGAACAAGCAAAGCATTTGAATGCCGTGTTATGATTTCTTGTAGGTAATTGTGTGAGAAGACATAACGAAGAAAAGATGAGAAGAAGCCACAAGGAAGCAACACCCCACGCATCGGCCAACGTACGTGGAAGGATGCGTGGAGCCACAAGTGACCCCCAACACACTCATCCAATGCGCGTTGGATGAGTGCGTTGGGCGGGATCTCCTCAAAGGCGCGAAAATTGAAGTATAAAAGGGAAAAATTCAGCAATTGAGAGGAACGCACTCATTTTATTACACTTCTCCTGAACTTGTAGAGCTAGGTTAGGAACCCTAGAGAGAGAAACAAGAGATTTTACTCTAGCTTCAAGAAGATTTTGCAATTGAAGATTGGAATTGGCAATTGTTTGGTATTTCTTTCATCTCTAGCACTTTCTATACTTGTTTTCTATATTCATTGCTTCTTTCTCGTGAATATATCCACCCATAAGAGTAGATTTTTATCCAATATGTTAGAGAGTAGCTAAACATCTTTGATTGGATTGTGATCCTTGGATTCATGGCATTCTAGGTTGTTAGATTAGAAATTGAGAGGATGTATTGATGAATTGACTTGCTATGTGTTGAGTTTGGTTGCTTTGATCTTGTTTAATTGGTGGCCACAATTGGGCAAGAGTTTAGAAGGGAGATATGTGTGAAAGATTACCATTTCTACCTAGTCTAGAGACTCACCATCCCCGCCTTACGATCCGAGAAGGGTAGGCCCGGGAGGGGAGGTAGACCACATGCTTGTGAAAATGCCTTAGCCGACTTAGGCAATTAAGAGTCTAGATTTCACGCAATCTAGTGTTAGTGCCGTACACCCTCGTAGGGAGTCATGAGTCAATCATCCCGATACCTTTCCCCGGGCGAGTTCAACCTATGAATGTTTGTCTAGGGAGAGCAATCCAATCTCCATCCCACTTGTTTGTTCTTCCTTTTCCCTAGTCTCCGTGTGTTTCCTTGCCTAGTTCTTATGTTTTCCTTTAGTTTGGCTTTGTCCACTTGCCTATGTGGTGCCTTGCAAGAGTGTATTGAACTCTCCAATTTATCATCCTTGTGAGACACGACAACAACAAAATGGCGCCGTTGCCGGAGATGCCAAACGTTGTAGTTTAGTATGTTTTTGCTTGTAAACACATAGTCAAGAAGACCAAGTTTTGTTTGTTTTTCCTCATCTCGTTATTGTTTTTCTTATGTTGTAATTGTTACTTGAAATTGACCTTAACGAGCAACTACTTCTAGTTGTTCTTCCTTTGCATCATGATTCTTGTGTAGGACACCATGGACTCCGAAAACCATCACCAAAAACATCGTGGACCAAATTCAAATGCATACCCACCCCATGGTGAAGAACCATAGAGACACACTTCATCAATACCTTATCCTCACACCTCATATTATCCACCCCTACTACCCTACATTTACAACTACCCACCCCCAACTTATCATTACCCTCCATTAGCCCCATGTTACTATGAACACTGTTACGCCACTCACCATCATACCAATTCTCCAAATCCTTACCCAAAAGATGCTCCACCCTCGCAAGATCACTACAATTCACGGTGTTGCCCATCTCCAAACCATCCAACACACGTTGGGACCGCGTAGGGAGAAAATAGGAACCCCAATGACATCCCCAACGCATGTGGGACTGAAGGAAATTCGTTGGAAGGAAACAGAATCTTCCATACTTCGGATGCATGGGACGAAGACAGAAACTTCCACGCATCCTCCAACGCACGTTGGAGGGATGTGTGGGAGGAAGGCAGAAACTTCTAAGCATCGCCCAACGTGCCTGGGCCATGCGTGGAAAGTCCTAACCCATTTGAAAATAAGCTTCAAGATTTCATTCACGAAACAAAAGAAGAAATGACGTATCTTAGGACATCCATGAAGCAAGAACCTGAAAAAGAGTTGAATATCTTTAGGCAAGAGACATGACAACCACTCAAACGAATGGATGACAACATTGCCGCACAAGTGGAAGGTTTTACTAAGAAATGTGAAGCTGAAGCCCATGCCATTACTCTTAGGAGTGGGAAAGGACTTCCGGACATGACCCCACCCCCAAAAGCAACAAAGGATGCATCCCAAGAAACAACGGAGGATGACGAGCTAAACAAGAAAGTAGATCAATCCTCAGCTCCCAAGAGATCACCAAGTACAACCAAGCTGGGAAAAGAACCCCCGAAGCCTACCAAGCATACAAGAAAAGGAAAAGAAAGCATTGAGAATCAACCAACCATCCCTAAGGACAAGCTACCATTCCCCCAACGATTCTGGAGTGACGTGGATAACGCGACGTACGCCAAATTCCTACAAATTCTCAAGCAACTCCACGTGCATATGCCTTTCATAGATGCATTGGGAGAGATGCCGAGGTACGCAAAATTCCTTAAAGATTTACTTTCCAATAAGAAAAGACTTGATGAATCGGCTACTATTATACATGGAGAAGAGTGTTCCGCCATTGTGCACCGGGATATGCCCCGGAAACTAAAAGATCCGGGGAGCTTTACTATCCTGTGCAAAATTGGAGGAGCATCCTTTAACAAAGCTCTAGCCGATCTCGGCGCGAGAATAAATTTGATGTCGTATAGTCTTTATAAGAGGTTGAATTTAGGTACTCTCAAGCCAACCCGAATATGCATCCAACTTGCAGATCGATCCATGACATACCCATGTGGTATCGTCGATGACGTGTTGGTGAGAATAGATAAGTTCATTTTTCCAGTAGACTTTGTCATATTAGATATGGATTCTGATGGGGAAATACCTCTCATTTTGGGAAGGCCATTCTTGGCCACAGCCCGTGCCCTCATAGATGTCGAAAACGGTAAACTCGTCATCCGTGTTGGAGACGAGTCTACGAGTTTCAACGTATCTAAGTTGATTAAGTTCCCTTTGGATGGGGACGATGAATGCTTTTACATAGAGTATATGCACGAGGAAATTGACCACTTGTATGAACTACCCTATAAAGAAATGAAAGAATATGACTTGGCAAGTCAAAGTGGTAAGGATGATTCTACTTGCATATGCTTATTAATAATGCTTTTGAATCATGTGATAATGCTTTATATGAATCATTGAATGTTCTTGGAGAAGTTGAGGAAGATACGGTTGGATGTGATCGGGATGATTTTAGTGGAGTAGGAAATGAAGGGATGTGTGAAACCGATGGAGAAGGAAATGATGAAGGAGGAAACGAGAATGAAGAGAAAAATTTGGAGGATGGAGGGATAAAATCAAAGATAAAGAGAAGAGTGTGTTGAAACTCCTACTGAGCCATTTGGAATACGCCTACTTAGAAAACAATAATGAACACCACGTTGTGATTTCGGCTCACCTCACCGAGAATGAAAAGGAGAGATTAGTGGCTATATTGAAAAAGAACAAAGAGGCTATCGGATGGAAGATAGCCGATTTGAAAGAATAAGCCCGACCATTTGCACCTACAAGATCCTTTTGGAAGAAGGCGGGAAACTTGTTGCTCAACCCCAAAGGAGGTTGAACCCGAACACTTTTGAAATAGTCAAAAATGAAGTGATCAAGCTCCTAGACATTGACATGATCTATCCCATTTTGGATAGCGCATGGGTAAGCTCTACAAACGTGGTCCTAAAGAAAGGAGGAATAACCGTGGTTGAGAATGAAAGAAAGGAGTTAATCCCTACAAGAAAGGTGATCAGTTTGCGGGTATGTATTGACTACCGAAAATTGAATGAAGCTACGAGGAAAGACCACTTCCCATTACAATTCATTGATCAAACCATTGAAAGAGTGTCTGGTTAAGGGTTATATTCTTTGCTCGGCGGCATGAGCGGGTATTTTCAAATACCCGTAGCACTAAAAGATCAAGAGAAGACGACATTCACATGCCCGTTCGGAACATTTGCCTACCAAAAAATGCCATTCGGGCTATGCAACGCATCAGCAACCTTCATGAGGTGCATAATAGCAATATTTGAAGATATCATTGGAGATTTCATGGAGGTATTCATGGATGATTTCACGGTCTCTAGGAACACCTTTGAGGAAAGCCTTAATAACTTGGAAAAAGTGTTAAAAAGATGCCAAAAGGTGAACCTTGCACTCTCTTGGGAGAAATGCTACTATATGGTCAAAGAAGGGATAGTGTTAGGACACAAGGTGTCCAAAAAGGGAATCAAAGTGGATAGAGCAAAGACATCGGTTATCAAGACCTTACCTATACCCCACAATGTCACGTCATTGCGGAGCTTCCTAGGACATATGGGTTTCTACCAGTGGTTCATCAAAGATTTCTCCAAGATTGCGAGGCCTCTCACGAAGCTATTGGAAAAGGATGCCACGTTTGAAATGACCAATGAGAGTATAGCGGCTTTCAACAAGTTGAAGGAGGCTGTGACTAGTGCTCCTAATCTAGTAGGACCCGATTGGGGTAAACCTTTTGAGCTCATGTGCGACGCAAGTAATTACGCAATAGGAGCAATGTTAGGATAAAGAACGGAGAAGATGTTCCAACCAATTGCGTATGCTAGCCGTATACTCACCAAACCTCAGCAAGCATACAGTACGACCGAAGGAAGCTCATTGCCATCGTGTTCGCGCTGGACAAGTTTAGATCATATCTTTTGATGTCCAAGGTTATCATCCTTATGGACTATGCAGCAATCCGATACTTGATGGAAAAACCCGAAGCAAAGCCACGTTTAATTCGGTGGATACTTCTTCTCCAAGAGTTCGATGTGACTATTGTTGATAGGAAAGGCACCAAGAACAACGCCGCAGATCACATATCCCGGTTGGAGAATGACAAAAAGAAAGATGATGTGGGCGAAATAGAAGAATTCTTTCTGGAGGAGAAGTTATTGGGCGTGACATTGCCCTATGGTATGTCGACATTGCAAATTTCCTAGTGGGTGAAGTCTTATCGAATTACCTTGATGTTCACAAGAGGAGAAAGTTAAGAGCCGATGCAAGATTCTATTTTTGGGATGAACCATTCCTTTTCCGGATTTGTGTAGATCAAGTCATCCGAAGATGTGTTTCAGAAGGAGAGGGACAAATCATAGTTGGAGAGTGCTATAAAGTGGGCCACCATTCAGCGAATCGTACAACTATAAGAGTTCTAGAAGCCGGATTCTATCGGCCGTCAATTTTTAGAGATGCTCAAGGTTGTGTGCGGAATTGTGACGGGTGTCAATGAACCGGGAATGTCATACACCGTGATGAGATGCCCCAAACTTTTATATTGGCCTGCGATGTTTTTGGCATTTGGGGATTAGACTTTGTTGGACCTTTTCAAGAATTAAGAGGTTGCAAGTATATTTTATTGGCAATCGACTATGTGTCGAAATGGATAGAAGCCGAAGCCCTGAGGTCGAATGATGGAAAGAGTGTCATAAGGTTCTTGGAGCGCTTGTTTTCTCGGTTTGGAATGCCCCGTGTTATCATAAGTAACCGAGGAACACATTTCCGGAACGTACCCATGAAGAGGATTCACAATCAATACGGGGTACAACACCAGGGAGGTGTCTCCTACCACCCTCAATCTAGCGGGCAAGTTGAAAATTCCAATCGGGACGTTAAGATCATTTTGGAAAAGGACGTGGCTAGACACCGCCAGGATTGGGTGGTTAAGCTAGAAGACGCGTTATGGGAGTTTTGTACGGCCTAGAAATCACCCATTGGCACAACACCGTATTAGCTAGTTTATGGGAAAGCTTGCCACTTACCAGTTGAAATCGAACATAAGGCGTATTGGGCAATCAAGAGACTAAACGAGGACCTTCGTTTAGCAAGAAATGAGCGTTTGTTACAACTAAATGAACTTGAAGAGTGGAGGATGTTAGCATATGATACATCTAGAGCCTACAAAGATAGGGTGAAACAATACCACAATCTACACATTAAAAAAGGAAAATAATTTGTGGTCAGAGATCGAGTTTTGTTATACAACTCAAGGCTAAGACTTTTTCTGGGTAAGCTTAAATCAAGATTGTGACACCCCGTAAATCTAAATACTAATTGGGATTAATTGAAGAATTAATTCAAACCTTCTATGGCAATCCATTCTAAAAATCCCGAAATTTAATAGTCGAGGGACTAGGATTTGACTAGTCACTTAAGTCCACCAAGTGTACCTTGTGCTTTATGGTTTGTACCTTTACCCCTTGTCTCTCCAACCTTAGTAAGGGTAAAAGTGACCTTTCAACCATGAATTGTTGTTCAAGCTATCCCTAGCAAGACATCCCATTCATTTCTCATTCAAGCCAAAGTCCCAAACACTCTATCACCTCTCTAAAAAGAACCTAGATTATTCTTCAAGCAAAAATGGGAAACCTTTAGCTTTGCAAGATCCCTCACAAAGATTCCTACTTTCTTCTTCCCAAGCATAGGAAAGGGTAAGATTCTTAGCTATCTAGTGTTTTTAGCCATCTTTTGGGTGTCTTTATCTAAGTTAGAATCTGTCTTGTGTTTTGGCTTGTGTAAGAAGTTGGTGAGGAAGAAGAGCTCTAAGAAGAGGCTAGGGAGAGTGAAATGAAGAGGTTGTGGTCTTCAAAGGTAACCCATGCTTTACAAAACCTATTTTCTTACTTAAATGATGATTATTGGCTTCTATTTGATGTTCTTGGTGTGATTTGTGAGATTTGATGCATGATCTTGTGATGATGCATGTTTAGAGCTTTTATTTAAGTTTCTTGAATGCCATTGCTTGGCTATTTATTGGGTTCAAGTCATATCTTTGTTGTGTGTGAGATTTTGGATGTTTTGGACTTGAACTTGGCTTTGTTGATGAATTTCCCCGAAGGGAAAATATTGTACAGGAGGTGTACCCCGTGGGCGGAATGGCGGGCAGTGGCCTACCCGCCGCCCCACCCGCGAGGAACATGGGTGATCAGGGCATGTACCCCGCGGGCAGACCCATGGGTGGGGGCTTACTTGTGGCCCCACCCACGGGGAACGTTTGATGTGAGTGCGGGGATTTGTTCCCTGTGATTCTTTTCTTCTTGGTATTGATATTTTGACCTCCCGTTGTTGGATTATTGAGCTATTTGTGAGCCTTCTTGATGTTTCGTATGTCTAGAACGACGAGTTAGGAATCCATGTTAGGATTTGGTGTCTTGAATCGTGCTAAGGGTCCAACTTTGTGATTCGTTGGGCTAATATGAGTCTTGAATGTTCGTTGGAACCCTTTTGGTTTATCCGTTTGATGAGCATGCTAGGTTGATGTTGATATGCTAGTATGTATGGTTTGTTCCTTGTTGTTGTGGGTTGGTAACTCGCGTTGTCAATCATTTTGATGTGGATTGTAGTCCCTGATTGTTGAGTCTTGTCTCATGACTTTATTGAAACCCCTTGATTGATTTTTATGGTGTATTCTTGTACAAATCGTTATACCCTTTGTTGATACCTAATTGGGGTTATTGATGAGCCTTAGTCTTCTTGATGATGATGACAATGTGTGAATATGAATGAGATTGGTGGTTATGTGACTTGAGCTTTGCTCACATGATCGATGGTATGTTACTATGATTTGTACCGTACCCTCATTTACTATGAGTTTGGCGGTATTGTTTGGCGAAAGTTTGGCGGGGGATGACGGTCCCAGACCGGGAAAAGTTTGGTCTCAGAAGTATAGGGTGGCACTCGGAGGTACAGGTTAGAACTGTGATAAGGCCGGGGGTAGCCATAAGGGTGGTACTAAGGTATAAGGTTGGAACAAAAACTTGTCATTATGTGATTGTGTATTTTCCTGGCTTATGAACATGTGTATGATGAACTCTACATTGTGAATGGTAGGTTGCACCTCGAGTTGTGTTGTGTATGGTTTTTGTGTCTTGTTGAGGTTGATGACCCTCGGTCTTTGTTGAGAGTGTGATGAGTCTTTGATGTTGATCTTCTCCTGATTTTAAAATGACTATATATTGTATTCCCCAGTCTCAAACGCTTTTGATTATATCTATATACTATGCTATTTAACGCGTATTGATGGGTTACCAGCATTATTTGCTGATCGGGTGTTATCCCTATGTTTTACAGGTTTTGAGTAGATGATGAGCGCGCTAGATGAGGACTCTAGATAGTGTAGCTCCTGTGCTTAGATGTTTTGCTTTTGTTGGTCTGTGTGCCTAGACTAGTGGCCTGTGTGTCTAGACTTATGTTATGTTTGATGATTGTGATAGATTTAGCTTGTGTACCCATAGTTTTATGGGTGTGGCATAACACCTTTCCCGGTTTTTAATAGCTTCCGCTTTATGTTGATCGATCTTTAGATGCTTATCTTTAA